CATTGTCGAAGACGCCTGGCTAGGTGTCGGGACCCCAGCCGATGCAGGTCGAGGAGCACGAGATGGAGGTAGGCTGCGATGCTGTGTACGTTGGCGCTTTGTCGCCGCCTGGGCTAGCTCCGGTGCTGCTGCTGGAGATAGGTCGGGGAGTCGCCGCAGTTGTGCTTGACGTGCACGTGCTTGCCATCCTGTGCGACAACCAGTCTTGCCGGTAGCTCCATTTTGCGGGCCGTGTAGTCGTAGACAGCCTTGATGGAGGTGGTGATGAGCCTGAAGCGGTTGTGATCCTGAACGATCTCGCTAAGCGGTGGGTGGTCCCACATCTTGCCAAACAGGGCGGAGAGTGCTCCTTGAAGCTTAGAGCCACGATCCAGGACGGCGTAGGTCTCATCCCTGCCTGTAGCGACCGCAACAAAGCCGTTGTCCCCTGCCACCAGCTTCGCCGTCTCGACAACATGCCACGTGACCCCCTTCTCGGTCCTTGCCAACTTTATGCTCTCGAACAAAGGTGGGGGCGCGAGTATAACCTTCATTCGTTTGGCCCGAAGCGGTATCAGCTCGTCGTACTCTAGGCCCCCTAGCAGCATTTGCTGCGTCAAGACATGCATTCTGCAAAGGACACGTAGCCACTCCTGGAGCTCATAAGATTCAAGCGCAGCGACCAGGCCCGCCTCCTCCTTCAGGGAGGGGGGTGGAGCTGGCGGAGAGGGCTCTTCCTGAACAGGGAACTGATCCGGCTTAGGTAATTGCGAGGGTCGGAGTTGGGGGTGCCGCCGGAATCTGTGGCTTGGGCAGGGGGGGTCCATGCTGGGAGGCCTCGGCTTTGATGCTTTGGGACCTGCGCCCTCCACTATGCCCGATGCCGGACCTGGTCGCCGGGAGGCCAGGCGCCTTGCTTGGCAGCTTCCACAGAGCTGACGTCAGCTAGCTGGTGTGGCCAGGGGCTGAAGGCTGGGCTGGGCAGGGCCCTTGGGCTGGTGCGGTGGAGGAGGCGGAGCAGAAGAGAGTTGATCCATCAAGAAGGAGTTGGGGGTATGTGATTGACCACCCCAACGCTGGTAGGGAAGGTAACATTCCTGCGAGACTTCTTGTTGAGGCAGTAAAGAATAATCATGAGAAATGGCCCTTTGATCATGAGAAATGGCCTTCAGAATTACTACAATTTTAAATCTACTGTTGTTAGAAAGCC